TTTTCCATAATATCTGCTATTTTATGTTGGAGCTTTTACTAATTTTAAGCAACATTTATTCATCTTCCATAATGTTCTATTCTTTTTGCATCAATATCTACTTGTTTTCATCTACATACATTCATTTGCACCAATATGCATTTGTTTGGAGCTGTCCCCTGTGGACCACCATACTTTTCAATTGGATTAGTACATCACATGTTTAAAGGCCACAACATTTCTAGAGTCAGTAACAAGAAGTGGCCAACTCCCAAAGAAACAGAGAAGATAAGATGGGAATATGCAGGCCACTAACAAAATTTCCTTTGTTTCATTCCTTGAAAAACTTATCGCTTACACAAATAGCATAATGGGAGATTGCAAGTCATGCAGTGTTTCCCAGCTTTTGGAAAATTGCCCTACACTGCACAATATGGAATCTCTGCATACTGGTCATTACTGAGCATAACAAAAACCTATGGTTCACTTTGCCACACCCACAACTTCAACACCTAGCTGTATTGGAATCAACTTTTGAAATAAAGGAAGCAATGACGCCAAATAATATCAAGCTCGTGATTTTCAAAGAAAACAAAGAAACCATTGATCAAATATCTTGGCATATTCATTTGCACCAATATATATTTGTTTGTGGCTGTCCCCTGAGGGCCACCATTCTTTGCAGTTCAATTAGTACAACACATGTTCCAACCCTAAATGTACACGTATGAGCTCAAAGGCTGCAACATTTGTGGAGTCAGCAACCAGAAGTCGCCAACTCCAGAAGAAAGAGGGAAGATAAGAGAGCTTGTATTCCTTATGTTGGTATTGAAACACGACTTGCAGTGCTTTGTTTACTACATGGAACATCATGCTTGAGATGTGTCACTCGTCCACCACTTAATGGATTAAGAATTACAAAGTAATGCATTCCTTAGATTTTACGCTCAATTTGATATCATTTTGAACCAAACTATGACAAGATTACACTATAGGTAAGTTTGTTTACAATAATTATGTAGCTTCATGCTGGTCGAGTTTGAGTGATTAATCCAACAAAAGCTAATTAAAGTTTATCTATTGAGCTAAGAAATACATTACATAAAAAAATAATTGCTTTTTAACCATGAGCTAGTTTTGTTGGAAAAGGAGGTGAAACAAGCGACTGAACTACAAACACACTAGCTGCACGAAATAGGCAATACCCAGCGTGCTCTGCTGGAGTTTGACCCATGTTCAAAATGGTAGATTTTACCACAACAGTATGTAACGACCGTTTTTATTTTTTAAATTGAGGTTAAATTCTTTACCAAAGTAAACCTGGCAACTTCTTGCCATTTTCTGTCCTTTGTTACCGTATGTACATCACTGTCACTGTGTGGCAGGTATTAACTACCGCTGTATTCAAACTAGCTTCAAACTAATAAATTATCTTTAGCAGTGAACCAAACAACAGACTGTCAAAACTTTTTATGCATCTTTCTCAAAGGTTGATCTGAATAGTGTACTTGAAAAACAGTAGGTGTTTAACTTTAACACCACTAACGTAACGAAAGTGGTTCGCAAACCTTTAGGAAGGATTCATCCTGTAAAGCGTGATCAGGTGTGACTAATATGCGTCCCGACCGCGAGCATTCGATCGAATATCTTCCTTCCATGACTCCAGGAACCTTAAGTCTGCAATATTAGGACAAACAAGTTGGAAAAGAGTTAGAAATAGTCGTTACACAGAGATTCCGAAAGCCACTGAGATCATGTTTGAAGTCCAAAACGATATTCTATCACACCTACGTGTTGCCACCGCATCATCGTGTAAGCGAGCTATGAACTGAGCAACGGAATTTCCCTTTACAAAATCTAACTTACCCGGCCATCTTGAAGTTAAGAACTACTGGCAGATTGCAATTACTCAATGAAAGAAACGCTCCTCCAACAAGGTTAACTGGACTGAACTATTCATGCTTGCGAGATGTGGTCAAATGTATCACCTTAACACAATCACGTGTCTCCCTCCGGTGTAGGCGACGAAACCACAGTCTACAGTCAGCGGTTTTTGTTCTCATTTCATTTTATGGAGAATATATTGTTATCATTATGACTATCGTTAGTTTAATTCTTATTATTATTTCATCACCATCGTGATAATTTTCTTCCTCGTAAATCGGCCTGGGAACGCATACTTATCTGTGGTTTTCGATTCTCGATTCCCGAGATCTCAGAGTGATCAGGCTGATTTTCTCAGTCGTGTTTATGCGCAGACGATTGGTACCTTTCACATCTCGATTCACCGGATTGACTCAGTTTGGGGCCCTCATTAAATAGATCGCTTCGCAAATCAAACGAATGTTAAATTTCCTCTTTTCAATTCAAGATTTTGCCGTCCAGGATCTAAAGGCATTGATGCCTTTGTTATGAGTTGGGCCGGAGAAAATCACCCTGCTTGTCCACCTATCTGCCTCATTTTCCGCGTTTTATTACATAGGGTAATTGTAAGGCGTCAGGGTCTCTTATTGTTCCATTGGGGCATTCTGCATCTTTTTGGTCGATGATTTGTCCACAAGGAAATCGTTTCGCTGAATTTATTTAAAAAATTTATTAATTTTTATTTATATATCAATTACTATTTGAAACAATGAATATATGAAAGTTCATATATTTTGAACTGCGGTTATAGATACGTATGATGCACGATTCTCGCAGTAGAGAGCGCTATTTATGCAATAGCGAAAATCAGACCTGAAAAAAATCAGGCCTGTACGGGATTCGAACCACTGACCTCTGCGATACTAGTGCAGCGCTCTACCAATTGAGCTAACAAGCCAACTGGGAGCAGGCCTGGTGGGTTCACTCTTTTGTTATTAGGTGGATGTTTTCTCTTGTCTGTTCTTTGTCTGTTAGCATTATTTATTTTCCGATGCGTTCCAGTCGGAAATGTTGATGGAGTTCTTCTCGTCGGTCCCTGCGCACTCGATAACCACAGCCTCTTTAGCAAAGAGCACCGTTCTGGCTTCAAAAGCGGGTGGCACCGTACGCACCTTCCATGTAAGGTTCAAACGATGGAAACGATGGGCTTTGTCAAATTACGTCTGCTGTTTTCCTATTAATTCCTTTCAAGTCGCAGTTTACTCACAGTGTCTGCTTAATGAAGCTCCTTCTCTAGCTCCAATTCTTAGCGCTGTTTACAGCATTGATTGGGCGCAGCAGATGGCTGGTTTATCAAAAATGTCCACACACCCTCTGGTTTCTTCGATGTTTAACGCATCTCAGAGAATTTTGGGTAGGCCAAAGGTCAAAAAGTATCCCGTGACCCACGAGATGTTACAAGTGTTCGTGAAATCAAAGATAACAGATAAGTCTCCGTCTCTTCCTGATCTCAGATCAGTCGCCCTCTGCTTAATTGTACATATATAAATGTTGTGCCGCGTAGCACTAAGAACACAAATGATGGAACAGAGAATTAACTCTGAAGCGTAAATTAAAGTGCTAAGAGAAACCCATGAGAAACCCACACGAGGTAAAGAAAAAATTCTTGTGACCGCGGTGGGAATCGAACCCACGACCGAAGGGTGGTTCCCTGATACCCTTTGCTAGAGCTAACGCTCAGTGGATTTTTCGTGGGTTCACTCAGCACTTTAATTTACGCTTCAGAGTTAATTCTCTGTTCCATCATTTGTGTTCTTAGTGCTACGCAGCACAACATTTATATATGTACCCTTACTTTCTCTTCGCCGCGATTCACCATCTTAATCGACCTTGACTTTCTCTGTCCAACCTCATGGCTTAGTCGGCAGAGCAACGGTAGATCTAATCCGGAGGTCGTGGATTCGATTCCCACCGAGGTCACTAAAATTGTTTCTTTACCTCGTGTGGCTCCCCGATACGCTTTCCTAGGGCTAACGCTCAGTGGGTTTTTCGTGGGTTTCACTCAGCACTTTAATTTACGCTTCAGAGTTAGTTCTCTGTTCTATCATCTATGCTTAATTGGTTACGCGAAGTTTTCCGTTTAAGTGAATTATGTCACATAAAGGCCTGCGATGTAAATTTTTTCCCCTCGTGCGTTTCTGTTTCCCTCGAATCTTCCAAGACAGATCAATTCCGAGATGGGTCGTGGCTTATTCTCGCAAGGTCAGACCTTCAGACTTCCAAACGACTGCACATCCTCAAGGTTTTGAAGCGCGTTGGAGTCCCTCCAATGGATCTTGTCACCGTCTATAGCGCTCTGGTTCGCTCTGTTCTAGAGCACTCTTCTGTTGTCCGGGCTACCTGCCTTCCTCGCTTCCTCATTGAGCAGCTCGAGGCTATTCAGAAGAGGGCCCTGCGAATCGTATATCCTGACCTCCACTATTAACAGGCCCTTGTGCAAGCCAACATTACCAGTTTAGAGGATAGACGCGCCCACCTGTGTCTCAAAGTGTGGCACAATATCAAAAATAATCCGGCCGCCAGCTGCACCGTCTCCTCCCTCCCATGCGATCCGAGTGTCACTATTACCCAAAACGCTTTGGTTCTAGTTTTTTTCCCAGCAATGGCGAAAATCAACTTATGAGTTTGGTTATCTCTATTATAGAATTCTATCTATATCTGAATTGTAAATAATTTATAAATAGCCTCAAGAGCCATAATTGGGACAGAGAGCGAATCTGAAGGCGTGGCAGGGAGATGTGAATTTCACAAAAGTTATTTTTAGAGTTACAATTAAACGGAAGTCTAATTCCTGGGACGTCCGCACATCTTAATTGAAGCGCGCCAACCCTTTTATTTATAATATGCATTGTAATGGCGACTGTTGAATATTCACTAGCGACTAAATACAGGAATGGCTCCGACCTGTAATTGGATGATAAAATAGTAAAAGTTAATAAGTTACATCTTAACTCCTTGCACGTGAGTATTGTTTAACCGTGTGTCTCCAAGCGGAACAGTGAAATAACAATGCGAGCGAAAACACCGATGTGTCAAACAAGAAATGGTTACTTACATAACGAGGGGAGGGCCTTTCTTGTTCTGCGAGGTCGTTCAAC